GAATTAATCAGAATAAGACGCATGTTAATCAATCAGCAATCCTAGAAATACAATCTAGATACGATAAAACGAGACTTAAATTAGAATGTCTAATATTGTCAAAAATTACAGAAAAGATACCACAAACAAGAATTGATATATCCGCACTTCATATACCTGGTCGTTTGAAACTAGCAGACGAAGAATTCCACAATCCTGGAAGCATCGACGTATTAATCGGAGCCGGAGTGTTCTGGCAAATTCTTAAGGATGAGCACATAGACTTGACTCTTGGACAGCCAAGGTTGCAAAATACGTCCTTTGGCTGGATACTAGGAGGACAAGTGACGAATGCGCAGCAGGACAGTAAAGCTGTAATATGTAACGCGTTGACGAACGATGAATTAAGTCAGCAGCTGGAGAAATTTTGGCAAGAAGAGGAAGTTATCGACACCAAGCATTATTCTTCAGAAGAGCAAAAATGTGAAGAGCACTTCAAAACAACGGTGCAAAGAAATGCCGAAGGTAGATTCGTGGTTGGGCTGCCTCAGAGAGAAGACATCATTCTCGGGAATTCGTATAACATGGCATGGAAAAGAATGCACGCATTAGAAGGTAGATTCGAACGGCAACCAGAAATAAAACAAGACTATGTGAATTTTATGGAACAGTATAAATTACTTGGTCACATGTCGCTGATTCAAGATATCGAACCCATAAACGCAGGGGATATTTATTACTTGCCGCATCATCCGGTTATAAAAAGTAACGCGTTAACAAGCAAATTGAGAGTGGTCTTCGACGCGTCAGCTCGCTCGGAATTAGGAACATCCTTAAATCACAAGCTATTAATAGGAGCGGTCTTACAGGACACGTTATTTGAATTGCTGTTGAAATTCAGACTCCATCAATATGTTATAACAGGGGACTTAGAAATGATGTATAGACAGATTCTAGTAAGAGATCAAGATAAGGACCTACAGAGAATATTATGGAGATCCAACAGAGAAGAGGAGATGCAAATATATCGACTAAATACATTAACGTATGGTACGTCATCAGCTCCCTTTTTGGCGGTCAGATGTTTGAAGGAGTTAGCGATACAAGAGAAAAGCAAATATCCAATCGCAGCCAAGATTTTATAACATGATTTCTACATGGACGATTTATTAACTGGAGCGCACACATGGGAAGAAGCTTGTTTATTGCAGCGGGAATTAACGGAGTTACTTCAGAAAGGAAAATTTCATCATCGTAAATGGAGAAGCAATGATAAGCGAATACTTGCGTCAATTATGCAAGACAAGGAGGAAAATAATCTCCTAGTCTTAAATAAACATGAAGTTCTCAAGACTCTCGGATTGGTTTGGAATTATGAGCAAGATCATTTGCAATATGAGGTCAAGATTAGTGGCGAGCAAGCTGCTACTAAGCGACAAATATTGTCCCTCATTTCCAGATTGTTTGATCCTTTAGGGATTATCGGACCGGTGCTAGTCGTAGCCAAGAAGATAGTACAGCAATTATGGAAAGAGCAACTAGGATGGGACGAAGAATTACCACGTCATATACAGGAAGAGTGGATGAAATATTATAAATCCCTGAATTCAGCTCAAGTCTTATCGGTTCCTCGTAATGTG